TTCCCACAACGTGGCCCCGAGGTTCCCACAAGGTTGGCGCAAGTTTCCCACAAGGTTCCCGCAAGGTTCCTAATCGACAGTCAAGGAAACGTCATCATACCTCAAGTCTATTTCATTGCGCTTCCTACTGTTACCTTTTACCTCGCTAACCTTTTGGTGTCCTATCCTCTTAGTTTCCTCCTGTTCTTCATTCGAGCCCCGAATCCACAGTCAAGGACACCTCATGATATTTCAAGTCTATTTCATTGTGCTTCCTACTGTTACCTTTTGCCTTGCTAACCTTTTCGTATCCTATCCGTCCATTCGGGCCCCGAATCCGGCTTCGGGCCCCAAATCCGGTTTCGGGCACCGAATCCGTTTTCGGGCCCCGAATCCACTTTCGGGCCAGTCAAGGACACCTCATCATACCTCAATTGTATTTCATTGTGCTTCCTACTGTTACCTTTTACCTTGCTTACCTTTTAGTATCCTATCCTCTTAGTTTCCTCCGCTTCTCCATTCGGGCTCCGAATCCGCTTTCGGGCCCCGAATCCGGTTTCGGAGCCCCAATCCATAGTCAAGGCAACCTCATCATACCTCAAGTCTATTCAATTGTGGTTCCTTCTCTCAACTTCCTAACCTTCTAGTATTCTATTCTCTTAGTTTCCTCCTATTCTCCATTCGGGCCCCGAACCCGAATGCGGTTTCAGGGCCCGAATCGACAGTCAAGGAAACCTCATCATACCTCAAGTCTATTTCATTGTGCTTCCTACTGTTACCTTTTGCCTTGCTAACCTTTTAGTATCCTATCCTCTTAGTTTACCTTGCTAACCTGAAGAAAAAGTGTTGCATTTTGCGCTTAAGCTGTTGGGGATATTCTTTGGGCTTATTTCAACATTTCTTGCAATATGCCTCAATGTCTTTCGGCTCTGGCATTCTGCCATGATGCTTCTGGTGGAATCATGCGTGGTTTTATGTTTTGTTTCTGAAGGAAGTTCAGGAACTCTTCATTGCAGAATTCACCTGCGGAGTCCAAACACAGAAGGCCTGGTGGCCCACCCGAGCTGATCCACCCCAGCATCAGGGCTCGCAACGCCCTCTCTGTGGTTGGAGCAGGAGAACAAATGGCAGTTTGAAATGTCGTGCTGTGATCAACGAAGTGGCAAAATTGAAGAAGCTTTCCATGTTTGTTTGTTCATTTCACTCCATCCAACGTCCATCGAGACTACATCTTTCAATGCATGCTGAACAGCGAAGATCAGGCATAGCCTCAATAATGCGCGGTGCACGTGTCTCACTGCGTCCACCATGGGCCCTTGCTGAATGACTGACGGTCCAAACAATTGCTTAGATGTTGTCAGTACTACATGTTGTTGTTTTACGGGCCCTGACTTTGTAGATTCCGAAGATCACCCACGGTGCTCAGATCGAAACGGCGCAAGCTGGCTCAGGCGGACAAAACTTGGGTTCCTCAGCATCTTGGATCCATCCGGTTGCTCAATATGACAGTGCGAATTCTGTGCATACTGGTGTTCGAACAAAGCTTGAGTCAATGCACTTCGCCACAGGTGGTTTCGTTGTTGTTCCGAATCTGCAAGAGACTTGTTCATGTCCAGACTGGTCCACTTACACCAAGGCTTGCATTCAGGACTCACCCAAATGTGTTCTGGTTTCTCATACAGTACATGTGCAAATAGTTTTCTCCAGTGACAGACGCACTGAGACCTCCTTGATCAAGGCCGAAACGAAACGTCTTGACGCCATGCATCTTGCTCTGGCGAACGATCTCACTCTGGGCCACTGAGCAGAATACTTCAAACATGAAACAAACTTGCTTACTGGTTTTCTTAACCACGGCTTTGGCTTCTTGCCGTTCGGTTCGAAACTATTGGCGCACCAGTCGATTGAACGTGGCTTTTATGCCAACATGGTGTAGTCCAAAAAAATCAGCGGTGATCTTCAAGGTTTCTGACTCGCTTTGAGAGTTCATTCGGATTCTCGGGTGATGGAGTTGGTAGGGTCTGAAGGGCCTGTTCGACGGAGGTCATGCATCCCTGCAGTTCTGAGATCTCTTCGGTCTGAACCATCTGCTGCATTGTGGAGTCCATCACTGGGATCTCGGGCGCGTAGGTCGGATAGGCCACTTCGTTGGAATTGGCCCCTGGGATTCATTCCATCGATGTGTGACGGAGTGAGTTTCGCTCCTCGACTCAGGCGCTCCAGTTGCTGAACCTTCAGTTGGACATAGCGCACATACATGCATTGCTCCTGATGGGTGAGTCCTCGAATCGGCCCACCACGAATCTTGTCCACTGATTGTCCTCGAATGCTTGATGGACCTGGAACTTCCACCCCATCTTGGTTTTGCCAAACATGATCACTTGGTTCTCGAGGTCCTGGAGGGTCATCTCCTCGATTTCGGCTTGCGCTTCTGCTTCGGTTTGCTTCTGGAGATGGAGGAGCTGGGCCGACAGCGCTGACATGATCGACCTTCAACGCTTGGTCAGTGCACGGTGGACTCAACGAAACGCTTGAGCTCGAAGTCTGAGTTTCGGTGTGGTTCATCTGCGATTCAGTGCACTTGACTGACTTGACGGGCCCTCACACGGTTCGAGACGGTCGATTCGAACCGATTCGGACCACGCTTCAAATGCACATTCCCTTGACTGAGCTGACTCGGCGTCTTTTACACAGACAGATGTCTGCATCGGTGGCGTTTGGTGGAGAATGCCGTGGATAGCGAAAGCCTGTTCAGGAGTCTTTTCCTCCTGTGATTGATCACCTCCCATAGCTGGTTAATGTCTAGCAGAAACAGTTTCTTGGCAGACTGAGTCATTTCTAGATTCCGATTGATTTTCTTGGGCCATAAAGTACCCTTCTCAGTGTCTATTACTGCTTTGATCTGCTTATTTTTGCAGGAAAGGTGTTACACAATGGCTATGCGAATCCATGTTCCGGCCAGTCGCAAAAGAAGTGCGACCCTGCTGGGCAATGTCTGATGGTTGGTCTTTCGAACCTGCTTCTGAATCTCAACTGGCAAATTGTGTAGCAATTCGGGAACCTGTTCGTTTCCTATCACCGTCTGAGATGATGATGCAAACAGGCTCGGACTGACCTCGGTTTGGTCGGGAGAATCCTGCACAGGCGGCGCGGTGACAGATGTCACTGCTGACGAGCGATTTTCGCTGTTCAAGTTCATCCTGTCAGGGGCAACAACTTTCGCTCGAAGTTTGGTTTTGAACGTTTGTTCGAAGTATTTGATTCTTTGTTCAACAAGTAACAAGCCCCAAAACAACATTCACGGGTGTCCTTAGTGGTAGATTCGTTATGGGTGATTTCAGGCGCTTGGCTCAAGTCGAATGCCAGGGTGGCTGATGTCGGCTATTGCATTCTTCTCGGTGTTTGAGCCATCGTCGGGCTTCTTCGACGGACACTCGACCTTCCAGTGGCGTCTCTCGCCACAGAGCCAGCAGCGTTGCTGCAGGCTTTTGAATCCACGATTGGCCTTGAAGGCCCTGCCCTTTCCACGGCCTTTGGTCGTTTCCTGAGCCCCAAAGCCCCTGGCTTTCACTCGCTCTTGAAGCCGTTTTCGAGCCTCTTGGTAGGAGGTGTAGAACGTGGAGAGTTCAGCGTCCTCTTGAACAACGTCTTGGATGGCCTGTTCAAATTGAACAATCAAGGCAGCAACCGGGTCTTCCAACGCAAGCTGCTCCATGCTGTCCTCATCCAATGACTCTTCAACGAAAGCCCAACTCTCGCCCTCTTCACCTTCATCCTCCACCGTGAAACCCAAGTTATCATAGGTCTTCAAACTCTTGTCTTTCTTGCCAGCGGTCACTTCTTGAAAGAACGAGAAGCCCAACATGCGAACGGCCGCCTGAACTTTCTGCATTGTCAAGCTTCCGCCTTGTTCAGCTCCTGCCTCCACCAGCACTCGCTTCTTGTCCTCCGGTGTCAAGCCGCTGCCTCTCAAGATGATATAGGCCTGGACTTCAGCCAGTGACACTTTCCTCATGTGAACATCCATGTCACATCAGCTCTGGCTAGAGGAGTGTGAGGTCTCGTCTTGACGCTCCACGATCTGGTACTTCTTCTCAAGGTCAATTTGACCAAACTGTCCAGCCACTATCTCAATGATCTTTTCGGCGCCGCTTGTGTAACCAGTGAACACCTCCTGTTGACGCAACTCCAATTTCTGAAAAGCAGAGCGCTTGGTGTTGAGCGCGACCCTCGTCGCAAGTTCCTTCACACGATTTTCCGGCCAAGCTTGTAACAGCAGACGGACCTTCTGTGCCCATTGCTCAACAGAGCCCTGTCCAGGTTCACAGCTTGGAGTCTTTCCGGAGGCCGGTGCACCTTGCATTGTATCCAAGTCGAACCGGGCTCCGCGACCAATCTCAAAAGACTGGTAGCTTCACAGCCCTGCTGTGTCCTTCAAAGTAAACGTCACCCGTGCAGTCCTCTCCAATGTTCAACTAAAGTGAAATCCACTTGATTGTTCACAATGTCCAACCACATGTTCCACAGGCCCCAAGGGTAGCGCTTTTTACCTCACCATGGCTCGAGCGCGTCCTCACCGCGCCCACTTCGGTGGTTGGGCGCGAACAGATTCCGGTGGAATCATGGCACGCGAGTCAACATGCGACCTGGTTGCTCTTTCGACAACTAGTTGCATATTGTGTATTATATGTAGAATATCCAGCTTCACATGCTCTTAAATTTGACTCTGGCGCACTTCAGTCTGATCTAATGATTTACTTTCCATCCCCTCAATTGTTTACTGCAGGGGCGCTCCGCTGTGGATAAAGTTTGGTTGTAACACACACCTGCACTCTCTCAGCTGCATCAGGCCAATCCCTGCTAAACCGAGTATAGGACGCTCCAGCTGCCCCAACCATTGTCCAAGTTACGAAATCAGAAGTAATGGTTTGAATCCTTGGTGCAACTCTACCCACTTCCGCAGCTTGATACTACCCTCTACTTGAGCGGCTTTGAGAGATTCAAGGGTTTGCTTCAATGAGGCCTTCTGGGGTGAGCGTTCGGAGCTTACACATGATCGTTTGCATCCCAAGCCTCCAAAGCACTTTTGGGAGTGAGCAGACGCTAACTCCAGGTAGATAGGCAGGGCGAGGCAGAGACTAGCAAAGCTGATGCAACAGCCCCAGTTCTAGTTCATTCTTCGGCACATTCACTGGACTGACATCAACTGATGCTTCATTCGTCGAAGCAATGATTTGTTGGTGAAAGGATGATGGAAAGCGCAGCAAAAAGAAAAAGCAGCCGAAGCAGAAGCAGGCTTTGGGCTCATCATTGACTTGAGTTGCAGCTGTTGGACAGGTTTTTCACCAGCAACTTCCAGTTGTATATTGAGCCTCTCACATATGCAATGCCCAGCAGTTGCCAGGTGCTCGTAATGAGAGGCTAAGAGAAATCACCAGAACCATTTCATCACGTGTAAAGCGTGAAAAGGTGAATTGATGCATGAGCTCAATGCTTTGGTCATGTGAGCTCCATCAAGAGAGCAGAACTCAGAGACCCGCCAAAGACAAGCGGAGTTAGCCAGGCGCTTAGAGGGCTGGGCAGCGTTTATTTGTTGCCCACCTGCCAAAAGGGCTATCATTATTCACTCCTTGCCCTGGCGATTCGCCATTGCTCTTTGAAAATTGAAAACAGCAAACCATTTCCAGCGCTGCCAGTTCCAGGCTCAAGACATGAGTTTGCTTACCATGAGTTTGCTTACCAGCTTGTTGGGAGCTGTCTGCAGTTTGGTCAGCAGTAAACAGGCCACACAGCCCTACGTATTGTGCCAACCAAGGTTGAAAGACGGTGTCACTGAAATAGCTGTGCATCGCTTGAATGGCTATCAGACACATTGGCGATGGCAACGTTTGCCGGTGCATTTGCGGCGATTTCCCACAGGAAGCGTGACATTTGTCTTTAAGTGTTATCCCGGTAAGAGTGTGTCAAAAGGTCTAAGGTCTAGCCTAAGGTCTAGCCGAAGGTCTAGAGATCAAGACGCATTGGGGTGCAGAGAGAGGTGGAGAGGTGAAGGAGCTGGTGATCGTGGTGATGGTGGCCGTGATGTTAGTGATGGTGATGGTAGTGATGGAGGCGGTGATGATGGTGAGGATGGTGGAGTGGTGAAGGTGGCGGTGGCGATGGTGGTGGAGATGGTGATGTTGATGGTGGTCATGATGGTGGTGATGGCGGTGGTGCTGATGGTGGTGGTGGTGATGGTATTGGTGATGGTGGTGGTGGTGGCAATGGTGGTGATGGTGGCAGTGGTGATGGTGGCGATGGTGATGGCGGCGATGGCGGTGATGATGGTGATGGTGGGTGACGGTGATGACGATGGCGGTGACGGTGGTGATGGTGGTGGTGGTGGTATGAAAGTTAAAACTCTCGTGAACTGTTCCCCAAAAAGAACGTGAACCTTGAAAAAAATTGAATGAGACCTCAAACCTATCGCGAACCCTCGGACGCGATCGTCCGATTCGCCCACCGCCCCGGCGCCCGCGCGCGTTTTTCTCGCACGGACTTGAGCCTTGAGCCAATGAGCCAATGACGAACGGATTTGAGGCCCCCAACTAGGGTTGGCTGCACTCAATGGGTTCTTACGAACGCGCACTGTAAGCTAAAGGATGCCGACAGCTTGGGCTGACTGCACCCTTAAATCACAGCTCTGGCGATTGTTGAGTTCGTCATGGCAAGGCTCGGCTTCGACGAACTTGGTACACGTTCTCGATTTGTGCTCTCGAGGAAGCTGGGATGCAACACTTCGGATTTGCGCGTGTCATCCCTTCAAAAACCGGCCAAAAACACCCTGGATGGATGCAGCACACATGCAAGCGACTCGAACGATGTTCCCTTCCGATTGTATGCATGACATGTTGCGGTCGAACGAAATGGTCAACGATGGTGACTGTATTGCACACCCCCGCACGAACAAAACATGGCATGTTTACATCTCCTAACGAAAGGTGTTCATCTATTCCGGTAGGATTGTATCAATCCATCCAAGTTGTTTTCATTCAACTTCAAGGAACATCATTTCGGTCTATGGGATGTAGCAGCACTGCTTACAAAGGCGCAGCTTTCGATTCACATCGATTGCTGACAAGCACAAGCTATCATAGGAGTGGAAGCAGCTATTGTGCTCGAACGAAAATGCCATGAGGTGGTCATGGCCCCGAATCCCTTCTCGAAGACAGGTGTCACAAAGGCCTCGCTTGACCAGTTGTGTGTCCTTATGGTGCTTAAGCAAGGAACACGAAGCTCGGCGCAATCGTTCGCCAGTCTTTCGAGTCATCACAAAGATCTCGCCGACACCAAATCCTTCACGGGCCGGACTCGGAGAGCTAGTGGCATAGGATACACTGGATGGCGGCTCAACCACAGGAGGAGAGTACGACGGAGGATGAGGATCCGATTCTTCACCCAGCACCTCTTCCCAACCATCCAACTCCTTTCCATCATCATGATGATCTCGAGCAGCTGACATCTCATGATCCAAGCTCTTTGCAACCTCATGGCCAGACTGCGATGCTTTACCATATCCCTCAGACTTGTCAACTTTCTTCGAATTCTTTCCACCGGCCTTCACGGCCAATCTATCTCCACTTGAACCTGCCATGGATTCCAACCGCTCTTCACCAGCATCAGTCTCCTTCACTGTCACCGTGACACTCACTTCTTTGGCAGGAGAGTCGACCGAAATAGTGATTCGCGGCTTCGAAGATGACATGGCAAGATACTAGTCAAGTGGTTACAAAAGGACTCGAAAGTTCATTCAAATGACTTTCGTCATGCAAGAACAAACTGTATCCAAGTTTATGGAATTATGTATGCTTATGCTATTCATTAATCTCGAGAATCTATCGAATTCTACCTTCACACCCCTTTAGCCTTCACTCTGGGAGAGACTGCATTCGGAGGAACCAAGAGGCCAATTTCTGAACTAGCTTCAATGGATATACTCCTAGTGCGTGAAGACTCTGGCTGTTCAAGGGCAAATGGGTATTGCGTTGACAGCTTTTGGGATCAAACAGCATGCAATTGCTAGCGACTTTAAACTCATGTTTTGCTTGGGCCTCTTCACTCTGGATGTAAGCGCAACGCTGGATGATGGTGACGTGCTTCAAATCTCCCTCATGGCAGTACGTCTGAACCATGGAATCCTTCCAATACATACATGGCTTTGCTAGTTCTAGGCATCGAACGTGACAACGCATCATGATACCTCTTGAGCTTTCGATCAACAAAGCAAATTCTGCCATGCGCTGCTCTCGAATTTCTGCCCTGCGAGGTTCAGGGATCAGATTGATCACTGGCGAACCACCTGTACATGGAGGCGAAGCCCAACACATCAGCATGACCTTTGGAGAGTCTCGGAGGACCTTGTCGATCCAATCACACAACTTCAAATGAACAACATTCAAATTGTCGTCCTCGGTGACTGGCACAATCCGCAAGGATCCATATGAATCTCTTCGAATCACCTGTGAAAACCCGCCTTCGTTTGAAGTGCAAAGTTCAACGATCACACGCGAGACCTTTCCGTCAGCTATGTCGGACATAATCTTCAGCAGCTTCAACTCAAACTCGGTCTCACCACTGCCAACCGATGCGATTTCGGCATACGGAAAAGTCGACAATGGTTCTTCCGGCAACATCACCTTTTTATTCTCTAGATCATGCTGTACGGCAGCAACATCTTCTTCAGGTACCTTTTCGTCTTTCGTTTGTTTGGATCGTTTCTTCAACTCTTCCCACATGTGGTCTGCCAGGTTTCTGGTGCAGTGATCTCGCAGATGCCAATCTGTTCTCTGTGAAATTCTGTCAAATCACGATTCAAGATCTTGGTGAGGAGGTCTGCACTACAGAATTTGCCTGAAATCCATACTAAAACCATATGTCCGTTTTCTACCAAAGATTGAACATAACAGGTGGCTAGCGAGATGTGTCGGACACGACGTGACAGCCCTTGGTTCTGCAAGACAGCTATGCATGATTGAGAATCTGAGTACAAAAGAACTGGAAAGTATTCACGAACAGCTGAACTTCCGATCTGATCAAACTGCATAGCAGCCAAGCCTTCTTGCTGAAACTTGTGAAGCTCTGTCGTGTCGGCGAATGAGTCGAGGTATTCCACTAAGTGTCTTAACCCAATGCATTCTTGTGCAACTTGACACACCGCCACGACTTCCGCTTCACACGAAGACAGTGTCACACATCCTTGCAATCGGCTGAAGCTCTTCACGACACATCCTCGCCAAATAATGAGGCCACCGCTGACAGATCTTCGTTTCTCAACATCGCTACTTCCCCATGAGGCGTCAGAGATTCCAATCAAACAGTCATAGTAGTCGATGTGCATATTCTCTGCGGGGAATTGATGAAACAAATGCGCAGTGCTTCGAACAAACCTCAAATACCTCCTCAGCATGTGCAATGTTCTCATGAACATTCGTTGGATCACATTGTCCAGTGGCTAACAGGGAGATGAACCTGGCATGATCTGGACGTGTTTGGCTCCACCACGCAAGCTTTCCGACAATCCGTTTGTACCTACTTGCAGCTTCTTCAGACAAGATCGTGATCGTTTCTGGACTGCGATGAGCTTTCTCAAGAATCTGGAGAAGGTCCGGGGGAACAGGGGTTCCTTTCAAATCCTGACAAAAGGGGTCATCAACAAACAATTCTTCCAGATAATTGGGTGGTACACGAACCAAAAGACGATCAGACTGATTTGGTCGAATGATCTCCCTTCCGAGGAATGTGATTCGGCCCCCTTCCTTACTTGCATTGGTGATCATGCCGGTTGTTTTGACTTTCAAAGACTCTTCAAGTGCTCCACGAATGTCCTGAATCCCACGAGGTGACAAAGATCCTACCAACAGGTCGTCTACGTATACCAACACTATCGAAGGACTGTTTGATTTCTTTGTCACTCCTGCAAGGATTGTTTGCTCACTTGGACACTTCAAGAGACCTGCATTGTCCCTGAGGATCCTTGAACACGTGTTCAACCAAGCCTTTGAAGCAACTCTCAGGCCGTTCATCGCTCGATACAAGTCCAGGAACACAGGTTCATATGCGTCAGGCGCAAATGACACGTCAGC